TGTGTTTGATTGATCGGTTGGTTGGTTGGTTGGTTGGTTGGCTGGCTGGCTGGTTGGCTGGCTGGCTGGCTGGCTGGTTGGTTGGTTGGTTAGTTGGTTAGTTGGTTGGTTGGCTGATTGATTGATTGATTCACAACCATGTTACTTAGCAGTTCACTAGAAGCATTGGCTCTGTTTGTATCTTGCCTCTGTCATGATATTGATCATAGGGGTACAACTAATTCCTACCAAGTTGCATCCGTTAGTGTTGTTGTTTGTGTGTGCGTGTGTATGTGTGTGTGTGTGTGCGTTGTTTGTTAGATATTCGTGTATATTTTTATGTTGTGTGGTTGTACGTTGTTGCTAATGTTGGTTTCGTAAATATAATTCCATTGTATTATTTTTGTTCCTGTCCATGAATGACGTCATCATTCGATCGACCAATCGCGAGACGACAGGGTTCGGTGTTGGCAGCTCTGTACAGCTCTGAAGGCTCTGTTCTTGAGGTCAGTCTGCTGTCGTCATCATCATCATCCTTATTTTTGTCGTAACGGTTATTACATCATTCTAGTTATCATCATCACCATCATCATCATTATTTTTACTCAATCATCATCACCAGAGACATTACTCATTATCATCACTCATCATCATCACTCACCATCATCACTCACCATCATCATCACTCATCATCATTATCATCATTATCACTCATCATCATTATCATCATCACTCATCATCATCATTATCATCATCATCATCAGAGGCATCATTTCGCTCAGACAGTCTGCATACTGAACACTGAGGGTTGTAATATTTTGGAGAATCTTGGACAACCGGTAATTATCATCGTCATCATCATCGTCATCATCATCATCATTATCGTCTTCATCGTCATCATCATTATCGTCTTCATCGTCATCATCATTATCGTCGTCATCATCATCATCATCAGTATAATCATTTTAACATCGTTGGCCGAGCAGATTTAAGTTTCTGCAGAGCGAGATGAGGATTTATTAATTAATCAATAAATTAATCAATTAATCAATTAATTTATTAATTAATTAATCAATCAATCAATCCGATCAATTCGATCAATCAATCAATCAATCCGATCAATCAATCAATCAATCAATCAATCAATCAATCAATCAATCAACGTCACCATCATCACCAGGAGTACAGACGGGCCTTGGACTTAGTACAGGACATCATCCTCGCCACTGACCTGGCTCAACACCTCAAAAAAGAAAGCCAGCTGAAGGACATGGTCAAGAGTTAGTGGACGAAGATTTTTATTATTATTATTAATTATATTATTATTATTAGTTATATTATTATTATTTATTGTTATTATTTATTATTATGTTAATATTAATAATTATGACGATAAAAATAGTATTAACATTTATTATTAATTATATTATTGTTGTTGTTGTTGTTGTTGTTTAATTTTTGTTTTTTAGATGGTTTTTTTTGTGTTTGAATGAGTGAATGAATGAGTGAATGATTGATTGAATGAATAAACAAATGAATGATTGAATGAGTGAGTGAGTGAATGAGGGAATGATTGAATGAATAAACAAAAAAATGAATAAATGACTGAATGAGTGAATGAATGAACGAATTAATGAGTGAATGAATCAATGAATGATTGAATGAATGAATGAATCAATCATTGAATCAATGGACGAATTAACGAAAGATTATTAAATGAGTGAACGAATAAATGATTGAGTGAATAAATTGCCACAATCTTCACCAACAACACCACCACCTTCATCATCATCACCAATTTCTTCATCGTCCCCACCATCATCGCCATCATCATCATCTTCATCATCGTCTTTTTTTTCTACATCATCATCTTCAGCATCATCTTCATCAACATTCTCTCTATCATCATCATCACCATCATCTTCAACATCATTTTCATCACCATCATCGTCACCATTATCATCGCCATCATCTTCATCATCATCGTTTTAATAGTCATGTGCTGTTTGCACCGATAAATGGATTTCATGTTTAGTTTGTGAGTGAATTGAAAAAGTGTTGTTAAATAAATTTTTCATTTAGAGGGAAAGCAGTAGATGTGAATGTTATTGTTGATATTATTATTATTTATTATTATTTATTATTATTATTGTTGTTGTTTTAGTTGTTGCTGTTGTTGCTGGTTTTGTTGATAATAATGGTTGCTTAAATTTTTGTACCCGTTGTTGTTGTTGTTGACGTTTTTGTTGTTTTGCTGCTGTTGTTATCAATAAAGTTGTTTTTGTTGAAGTTTTGTTGTTGTTGATGTCGTTGTTGATGATGTTGCTGCTGTTTATGTTGATGTTGGTGTAGTTGTTGTTGACGTTGTTAAAGTTGTTGATGTTGTTGTTGTAGTAGTAGTAATAGTAGTAGTAGTTGTTGTTGATGTTGTTGTTGCTGCTGCTGTTTTAGTAGTAATAGTTTTTGTTTTTTCAGTAGAAAAGTTCCTCAGAGTAGAAATGTTTTGAAATATTTTTNTGATTAAATTTAATTATTCACTCGAAGTCGTTTTAATTTTCACTTTTTTAATCTTAGGCTTTCACAATCAGCCACACATCACTCTCATCATCATCATCATCACTATCATCATCATCATCATCACTATCATCATTATCACTATCATCATCATAATCATCATCACTATTATCATCACTATCATCATCATCACTATCATCATCATCACTATCATCATCATCACTATCATCATCATCACTATCATCATCATCACTATCATCATCATCACTATCATCATCATCACTATCATCATCATCACTATCATCATTATCACTATCATCATTATCACTATCATGGCCACAACCGTCATCATCATCGCCATCGTCATCATTACCAGATTACGATGCAACTAACAGCCAGCATAAACTCCTCCTGCTCTGCCTCCTCATGACGTCATGTGACCTCAGCGACCAGGCCAAGAGTTTCGAGAACTCCAAGACTATTGCTGTACGTCGTTGTTGTCGTAACTGCAGCTGTTGCTGAGACGTTGTTGTTGCTGAGACTGAATTGATTGAATTGATAAAATGAATGGTGGTCGAGTGAATGTTCGAATGAATGACTGAATGAATGAATGAATGAATGAATGAATGAATGAATGAATGAATGAATGAATGAATGAATGAATGAATGAATGAATGAATGAATGACATAAAAATGAAAGAAGACTAAATGATTGAGTTATCATACGAAAGAATGAATAAACGAACGACTGAATGAGCGTAAAACAGTTTCGAAATACATGCATGGACAAATAGAGATATCGTCGGAACGTAAAACTGAAGATGCACTTACACATGAATGCATAGCACCAAGCATCACTCACTCAGGCATGCAGACGCACACATACACCTACGCACACACGCACACACACAGGAGCGCATATACACTGAGTTCTTCTCGCAAGGCGATCTCGAGAGACAGATAGGTCGTGATCCCATGGAGATGATGGATCGAAAGAAAGCAATCATACCAGACCTCCAGATATCATTCCTTACAAGTATTGCACTACCTGTCTACAGGTTGTTTGTATGTCTGTGTGCGTGTGTGTCTGTGTATCTTTGTGTGTCTGTGTAACTTTGTGTGTCTGTGTATCTTTGTGTGTCTGTGTATCTTTGTGTGTTTGTGGAACTTTGTATGTCTGTGTATCTCTGTGTGTCTGTGTATCTTTGTGTGTCTGTGTATCTTTTTGTGTTTGTGGAACTTTGTATGTCTGTGTATCTCTGTGTGTCTGTGTATCTATGTGTGTATGTGTATCTTTGTGTCTCTGTGTATCTTTGTGTGTCTGTGTATCTTTGTGTGTCTGTGTATCTTTGTGTGTCTATGTATCTTTGTGTGTCTGTGTATCTTTGTGTGTCTATGTATTTTTGTGTGTCTGCGTATCTGTGTGACTGTGTCTCTCTGGGTTTATGTGGCTATGTGTAAGCGTGTGTATATGTTTCTATTTGTCTGTGTATTAGATTGTATGGGATAGTTGTTTGTGTGTGTGTGTTGTGTGTGTGTGTACGTGTTTGCATGTGTGGTGATTGTGTGTGGCTCTATTTACATGTACGTGTGTGCGTGTGATTTACGTATCTTGTTAAATTTAGTTATTGATGGTACACATTCGCGTTCGTTTGTTTGTAAGTTGTTTTGTGTGTTTGTATGTTTGTGGTTTGGTATGTTTGTTTGTGTGTTTGTTTGTTTGTTTGTTTGTATGTTTGTGTGTTTGTTTAATGTGTTTGTATGTTTGTTTGTAAGTATGTTTGTTTGTTTGTTTGTTTGTATGTTGTGTGTTGGCAGTTGACTTCAAAAAGAGATAGGATTAAATTTCAGCGAAATAATTATCCAAACTTTTCATGTTTCACTTGCGAAGAGTATCATAAATAATTACAAATAGGGTGGGTTGTTTCAGGTTGTTTCTTTTTGTGTTGTTGTAGTTGTTGTGTTGTTAGTTGTTGTTTGTTGTTGCTTTCATTGTTGTTGCTGTTGTTGTTTGTTGTTGTTGTTGTTTGTTGTTTTTGCAGTGTCGTTGTTGTCAATGTTATTCCTTTTGCTACTACATTAAAAATTTATCAAATGCGTGAAGTTATGATAACGACGATGATGAAGATAGTGGTAGTGATGATGATTATAACATCATCATGAAGATGAAGATGATGATGAAGGTCATGATGATAATGATGATGTTTAGGATGCTGGCGGAAATTCTACCGGAAACTACCCCAGTCTTACTGGCGGCTGAGAACAACGTCGTATCGTGGAAAAAACTCAACAGGTTGGTTTTCATTATCTTTGGTATCATCGTCATCATGTACGTCATTATCATTGTATCGTCAAAGTTATTTCAAAGTTATTTATTCGTCATTATGTATTTGTTTCAACATCGTTGACGACAATGACGTCATTACCACAGCAATCGCTACTGTCGTCGCTGCAATCTTCTTCGTTGTGGTCGTCATCGTTATTACGTTGTCATTTTGGTGTCGATTTTATTTTCATTCTGCAGCGTCTGCAACATCATCATCATCTTCCGAAACATCATCATCATCATCTACTGCAACATCATCCTCTTCCGCAACATCATCATCATCATAATCTTCCGCAACATCATCATCATCATCTTCCGCAACTCGTCATCATCATCTTCCGCAACATAGTCATCATCATCTTTTTCAACATCATCTTGTTCTCAACATTTCATCACCTCGTCGTCTTCATAGTCGCAACATTCCCTCAGTTATTTATTTATAGTAGTTATTGCTTCATTGTTTTTTATTTTAGTCCTTCATTCACTAGATTTTTCGCTCTTTTGTTCGTTCGTCGTTCGTTCGTTCGTTCGTTTGTTTGTTTATATGGCTGTTAGTTCATTTTGTTGTTTGTTCATCCACTCGTTTGATCATTCTTTGATTCATTCATTAATTCTCATTCATTCATTCATTCATTCATTCATTCATTCATTCATTCATTTATTCATCGGATATTTCCTTTATTTATTGTTCTCTTTCACGCACAGATTCCTTCCACCATTCCTTCGTTTTCTCATTCTGTCATTCATTTGTTCTTTCTTTCTTGCCCTCCTTCGTTCTTTTTGTTTGTTCGTTCGTTCGTTCATTCGTTCATTCGTTCGTTCGTTCGTTTAATTGTTCGTCCACATACATTCTCTTGTTTACTGCAGCGTTATTAGGCCATCCATCTTGCCTACATTTTAATTATTTAACAGATAGTCACTATACCACTACTCATCATCATCTTCGTCTTCATCATCATCTTCGTCTTCATCATCATCTTCGTCTTCATCATCATCTTCGTCTTCATCATCATCTTCGTCTTCATCATCATCTTCGTCTTCATCATCATCG